GCCTGGAGTCCCAGGAGGGAAGAAAGAGGAGGGAGGGGAGAGAGCCTGGGAAAGAGGAGGGAAGCAGAGGCCCTGGAGCTGGGAGGAGGTTGTCATTGGTATTCTGGGCGCTGAGAAGTAAGTCCCCAGTGGCTGGGCAGCCGTCAAGGCCCACCTCCTGGCACCAGGCTGCACATTCATCTGCAAGAGCCCCGGCCAGGGGGCCTTTTGGGCTCCCAGCAACCCCTGCATTTCGCACATTGGTTTGCATGAGCAGTAACGTTGGTTCACAGCGCCACCTTCCCACCCCCATCCCCTCCCCCATGTCTAGAGTTTCTGACTTGCTTTGCTTAACCCGTGAATCCGCTGTGTAACCTGTCCCTCCAGCTGCAAAGTCAGCTCCCCTTCGGTCCAGGGAGTGCGAGCACCACAGGAGACAGAGCCCCATCAGGGAGGTGGCGAAGGTCTTTTGCACCTCATCCGGCTTCCAAACACAGCTTCCCTCCCCCATTCTTCTCTGTGTGTGGTGTCCTTCTAGGCGCAAAACCTCCCGTTCTCTCGCCCTCCTTCTCCCTCCTCTCAAAGTGTGAGTCCCCTTCCTGTCCCCTTGACCAGTCCCTCCGGCTGTCTAACTGCCATCCCTCCAGCTGCAGCATCATCTGCGCCCTCCCCGCCCTCCTGCCCTCCCTCCCTACTCCAAGCCCTCGGCTTCCATCCCCTGAAGGATGTCCTACTTCACTCGTCCTTGCTCTCTCTATTGCCGCCCGGAACCGACGCCGAGAAGGCAACGGGTCCCGTGACTTTCCCGAGCCCCCCGTGTTCTGGGCCAGGGGGCGGGGGCAGCCCCGGGGAAGGGCAGGGCGGGACGGGGGGGAAGAAAGGGGGTTTTGTGCGGCGCCGGGCCGGCGCCCTCTTCCGAGCATCCTGCGGGCGCAGCCTGTGCTGGCGCCCGCGCAGTCCCCGCCGCAGTCTCCGCTGCAGCTGCAGGACCGAGCCGTGGACCCGGCGGAGACCCCCGGAGAAGGCGACAAACTTCGCGGTGCCGAACCCCAACCCCAGCCCTCGGCCGCACGCCAGGAGGTGAGCGCGACCGCAGCCCGGCCGGCAGCCCGGCCGCCGGGACCTGGGAGGGAGAGAGAGAAGGGAGCGCCCGCCGGCCTCGCAGGACGCGACCCTACCCCGCAGCCCTGGCCTCTGAGGTCCCAGCGCTTCCAACTCGCCGACCCCTGATGCTTTGGCGAGGTCCGCGGTCGGCCAGCTCGTAGCCGCCTGCAGCCCCTGCCACCCTCTCGTTCTCTGCGCCGGCACCCCCGCCCGCACCCCCACCGCTGCTTGCCTAGGACCCGCAGCCCCCTGGAGTCCCGCCGGCTAACGGGAACGCCCCTCTAGGTCCTCGCGTCCTCCCTGCTGCGCGCGCTGTCCCCGACCTCGTCACGGTATCAGCCCCCGGCTGCCTTGCCGTGAGGTTCCACCTCCCGTAGCCGCAGGACAGCCGGTAGGAGCCGCTCTAGCGGGCGATCCCGGCGCCGCTGGAGCTGGAATCCCACCCTGGCACGCACTTGTTGTGACCTTGGTCAAGTGAGTTGACCTCCCTGAACATCGGGTTCCTCATCAGTGCAATATCTAGTAAACAGCGTTTTTCTCAAAGTTCAGGTTATACCTGGGAGGCGTTTACCAAGAGGCCCTACGTGGGTACCACTCCTGCTTTCCTTCCTGGAACGGCCAGGAGCTAGAACTCTCTCCCCCCAGGTATGTTCAGAATAGCGCTGCCCACATGGTTCTAAGAGGACCAGGAGCTTTGCCATCGATTTTGTTGTCATCATCACTTTGCCCTGGCTGGGTGGCTCATTTGGTCGAAGCATCATCCCAAGCAACAAAAGGTTGCAGGTTGGACAACCCATACCTAGGATATGGGTTCTTTTCCCCGGTGGGGGTGTTTGGGAGGCAACCAATCCATGTTTCTCTCTCCCTTCCTCTCCCTCTAAAATCAATGGAAACAGGTCCTTGGGTGAGATTAGAAAAAACAAACCTGCATTACTTCTATTCCAGATAATACCAGTAAAATCAAGGGATAATTACCCTAGACCCACCCACAGTATTACCAGGGCCTGTGCTGTTATGACTAACTTTGCCATTGATAAAAGCATCGTCTATATTTCAGATTTTACATTAGGAGGAGCTACAATAGCTCCTCTGGTAATGTTGCTAACTTGTATTATTACTTGTGCTCCCAGTAAATAGGCCTATTTATACCATTACTGCAATTACTCCTGCAGGCCCTTCGAAGGCCTGGCTGTATTGTGTAGGTAATTGTTGGTGCTCACACAGCCACTAAGGGGGTAGCTGAGAGCTTCCCTCCTGTGGAGACCCAAGCTCTGGCCTGTGCAGCCCAGCTGATCCTGCTGAGACTGGAGCTCGGTTCCCATGGAGCGGACCTTGGATGCCAGCTGGTGGGAATTCAGCATTGTGAGCACACACACACAGACACACACAGACACACACAGCCTGGTGAACTGGGTCTGTGAAGCCTATGAGGGAGATGGAGGACCACGGGCAGAGAGGAATGATAATGTAACAAGGGGAAAGTTCCCTGAACAGCTTGAGAAACTCGAAGCTGGAGCCGGAGAGAGAGAGCTGGAGTGAGGGACGGTGTGGCATCAGGGGAAGGGACAGGAAGACTGCTCAGCTCTCGGGGTTAGGGATGAAATGGTGTGTCCTACTCTGGAGGATGAGAAGATGGAGTGGAGGTGGGTGAGGATGTGGGATGGAGAATCCCTGGGTCTGAGTCTGGTGCCTGATGAGGGATGCCTAAGTTTTCTCAGGACTCCTAGCGATACCAAGAAGGGACTAAGGTCCAAGTTTGGTGTGATTGGCAGGTGGGGTGGGGTGGCAGAGCTCTCTGACTGTGAGAACCACACAACCAGGGCCACCCTCTCTGATCGGTGATTCCCATTCCTAGAGGTGGGGGTGGGGAACCTTCTATGTTCCAGGGCAGCCAGATCCTCAGCCTCAGATATTCTCCCTTCATTCTCCCACCTTCAAAACAGAGGCAAAGGGGAGGGGGGTGGCCCAGGGCATTGATCCCAGAATGGCTCCAACTATATGGGTTTCTGGGGCACCCATCAGAGAGCCGGGAGCCAGGTCTGTGAGCAGCTCCAGCCCAGAGAGAGGGGAGGGAGGGCTCCAGGGAACGCCAGGCCTAGGACCTGGCACAGCTCAAATGCATGGTCAACAGTCTCCCCAGCACTGCAGGCACTGGCTGTGCATCCAAAAACGTCCCTCCAACCCCAGAAAACAGTCTTCCCAAGAGGCCCCCATGCCCAGAGCCAATCTCAGCACCTCGGACCTGGCCACAGCAAAGGTCAGTGACCCTGGCCACTCCTCCCCCAGCTCTGACCACGAGGAAACGATGCCGTGGCAGTGGGGGGAAGCAGAGGTTCACAATGGTGAGGAGGTATCCTCGGGCGACTCTGGGGATTTCTCATCAGCTCAGGCTCAGGCAAGGGGCACATGTATGAAGGTGGGGAAGGTGGAGGTGGAACAATGGGCCTGAAGTGGGAATGAGTAGCCGGGGGAAATAAGCCTGATCTCGTAAGCCTTGCCTGCAGCCTAATCTTCACCTCTCCTGCTGCACCATTGGTCTGTTCCCTGGCAGACTTGGGTCTTCATGGTCTTCTAAGCCCGAGGCTCAAAGATGACGTTGACACTAGCTCCTCCACAGCCTTCCCTCCTAGGGGCGCATTGGCCTGGTGCCTGACTGGGCTTCACTGGGGACTCCAGGTCAGCCCTATCCCTCTCCGGGCCCCATTTCTCAATGCTACAGCCCTATCCCTCCATTATGAGAGTACAAGTGCTTTGAGACCTTCAAAGGAACAGTCTGGGTTCTCACAGAGCTTCTGATAGCCAAGGGCAGGAGGGAGATAGCCTCTCTCATTTACTTTCACCCACCCCCCTCAGCCCACCTCCCAGCCCAGGGTTAGGGTGGGGGAGGGAGAGGCTGGATGGAGGCCAGACTGGCAGAGACAGGGGCTTTGTCCCAGCTGGTTTCTGAGCCAGGAGATCCGGTGGGAAAGCCTGTGCCAGACAGAAAGGAAAGACTGGGAGGAAGAAAAGAGAAGGCAGCCAAGGAGGGGGGCGGAAGATGCTGGGGAGTAAAGAGAAGGGTTTCCTTCTACTTTACGGTGGGGTGGAGGGAGGTCAAGGAGGGGTTGCACTGGGGAGAAGTTGTACATTGCCTGGGTTCAGTCTAGGAGGCCCTCCTGGGGGAGGCCAGGTGGCTATGGTACTCAGGGAGGAAGGGACAAGAAGGGAAGTTGGAGGGGTACAGTGGGAGGAGAAGACTCTGGGTTCAAAGAAGGAGTCTGGCACTGGGAGAGGCAGAGGGAACTCTAAACACAGGCATATAGTACCCACCGTTCACGCTATATGCTATATGCGTTTATTGAGCCCCTACTGTGTGCTGGATTCTGGGTATTTGTACAGGATTTTTTTAGAATATAAAGCATTCTCAAAGCACACAGCCTCATCACAAACTGTGAGGTGGTAGTAATGGTGCTCTTTTACAAGAAAACAAAAGCCCAGAGAGGGTAAGGAACTTGCCTTAAGTCATACAGTGAGTTCACTAGCACCAAGGTAGTGGCTCTGAAGAATACCTTCATGGGGAGACAGGGATCAGAAGCAGAGTTAATGGTGCCACAGAGGTAGTGGGCTTCTGGGGACAGGTGTGAGTCCATGTGGATGTGTTAGGGAGCCATGGTAAGTCCATCCTGAGGTCTACCCTATCTTTCTTTTTTAAAAATATGTTTTTATTGATTTCAGAGAGGAAGGGAGAGGGAGAGAGATAGAAACATCAATGATGAGAGAGAATCATTTATTGGCTGCCTCCTGCGCACCCCCTACTGGGGACTGAGTCCAAAACCCAAGCATGTGCCCTTGACCAGAATTGAACCCGGGACCCCTCCGTCTGCAGGCCCACACTCTATCCACTGAGCCAAACCAGCTAGGGCTAACCCTATCTTTCTTCCTCAAGTCCCCCCGTCAGTCTGCAGCATGGCCCCGCGGTTCCTGTCCCTGCTGGCAGCCCTGACCCTGGCTGGGGTCCCGGAGGCCTTCACTGATGCTCTGGAAAGGGACAGCTCAGGTAAGCAACCCGCTTGGGGTCACTTTCTCTGTCCCCTGCACCTTCCCTATGGCAGGGAATGGCCTCTGGTTCGGCCCTAACCAACCTCTTCCAGCTTGGGGGACTCAGGGAGGAGGAGATAGACTTTGGAGACTGTGGGGAAAGGTCTGGGCTGGGACCCTTTGAAAAAAGAGATGAGGTGTGGGTCCCTGGTCGGGTGTGGAAACTTGAGGTAGGGCTGGGGAGGGGCACCAGGTGCAAAGTTGCCAGCCTCTAGGATGGGGGGGGGACCCTTGGGACCAGGTGGGGGGCTGGGAGGCAGAACAGAGGTGGAGCTGGAGGAGATTCTGGACAGACAGAAGTTTTGAGCCCTGGACTGTAGGACCCAGGGGGCGGGGCTAGAAGACTGTGGGTGGGGCCCACAAATCCGGGGGCGGTACTCTGGGGGCCGGATTGACTCGGAGACTTTGGGGCCGGTCTGGGGATCAAGAAGTGGGTTTGCAGGACCCTGGGGACCGGGGCCCAGGTTGCTGAGGACGGTTTAGGAAAACCCAAAGGCGAGGCCGGGGAGTCCTGGGGCGGGGCGGGCGGACCCTGGGGCGGGGCTTGGAAACCTGGGTGAAGCTCCTGCGGGTCCCCCCACAGAGGACCGGGCCTTCAGCGTGCGCATCGCCGGCGCCCCGCCGCTGCAGGGCGTGCTGGGCGGTACCCTCACCATCCCCTGCCACGTCCACTACTCGCGGCCGCCATCCGGCCGCCGGGCGGTGCTGGGCTCCCCGCGGGTCAAGTGGACCTTCCTGTCCGGGGGCCGGGAGCCCGAGGTGCTGGTGGCGCGGGGGCTGCGGGTCAAGGTGAGCGAGGCCTACCGGTTCCGCGTGGGGCTGCCCGCCTACCCGGCGTCCCTTCACCGACGTCTCCCTGGCGCTGGGTGAGCTGAGGCCCAACGACTCCGGCATCTACCGCTGCGAGGTCCAGCACGCATAGACGACAGCAGCGATGCTTTGGAGTTCAAGGTCAAAGGGGAGACCCCAGGGGCAGAAGGAATTCCCCCCCCCCCCCCCCCCCCCCCCAGTCTGAGGGGGAGCAAACACCCCTGGAGGACAGACTGAGTTGGGAAAGGACTGACCAGATACAGGCTTTTGTCACCGCCTTTCCGTCAAGTGGAGGAAATGCTACCTGCAGCCCCACTTGAGCCCCTCCTTCCGCAGGGAGTGTAATTTACCCCGCGTGGACAGATGAGTGACAAGAAGGGGGCGAGCGGTCAGGCAGGATGACCCTGCCTCCAGGAGTACTCTCTGCCCCTCAGGGGTCGTCTTTCTCTACCGGGAGGGCTCTGCCCGCTATGCCTTCTCCTTCACTGGGGCCCAGGAGGCCTGTGCCCGCATCGGCGCCCGCATCGCCACCCCAGAGCAGCTCTATGCGGCCTATCTTGGGGGCTATGAGCAGTGTGATGCTGGCTGGCTGTCCGACCAGACTGTGAGGTAGGTACGCTGGGCTGTGGACCAGGGGCTTCTATGGTGTCTGAGGTTCTGCCAGGGGCTGCCTGCTGCCTCAAGCTGGCCACAGGGGCACCCTGCCTCCTGGGAATGAAGCTGGTCTTCGGAGAATGGGTGAGGATCTGTCCTGGGGGTGTTTGTCCCGCAGGCCTGGGAGGCCAACTGGCTGCGTGGGGAAGGCAATGTGATTCGGGAAGGTCACGTGGGATGGCTCCCTCGTGAAGGCGTCTGTCCTCCATCCCCAGGTATCCCATCCCAGACTCCGAGAGAGGCCTGTTATGGAGACATGGATGGCTTCCCTGGTGTCCCGAAACTATGGGCGTGGTGGACCCCGAGTGACCTCTATGATGTCTACTGCTATGCTGAAGACCTCAATGGTGATTGGGGATGCGGGGCTCCCAAGGGACAAGCCCCTTCTTTAGTGTTGCCCATGGGGCCTCCTGGGGCCTCTGCTGGACCTTATTGCCCTTCATGTGTTTAAGGGGGAAGCCAGGGGGAAGGAAACAATCGGTGTCCCTCCCTCCAAATACT